ATCTTTGCCTAATTTTTTTACTTAAATTTTTTTTAATGATTTGAGCATGTTTGTCATTTGAATCATGAATTTGCTCAATCATATTTTGTTAAAATGATACTTTATGCTTTTTCATGAACTCTCTTTTGGACTCTCTTTTGGTATCATTTTTATTGTCTTTCTTGGATTCATAAATTTTTATGAACAAAATTTTGGTTTTTATAAGTTTTCATGAGCTTATACTTTGTTTCTATGTATTGAGACATCATTCTCATAATAATGTATTTATATATGTTCTCAATTAATCATAATTTATGGTTTGATAACTTATGAATTTTCTTTTGGATTTATTGACAAATCATTTGATTCTTGATTTTTGATTTTTAAATCTTTGGTTTTCTTTTTTGGGATTTTTGTTTTTGTTTTTGATATATATCCTATGGATATATATCTATATTTTAGACTCTTGTGACTCTTCTCTTAATAAAATATATATGTGGTCACTTGGTCTTCTTTAATGTGAGTTGTGTTTAGGATATTCTATACCTATGCTTACTCACATTTATTTGCCATGCTCATCATTGCATATTTTCTATATGTCTTTTTGATAGGGGGAGCCTACCCCATATCCTTCTATTTTTGTTTATACTCACTTGTGTTTTTTGCTAGGGGGAGATTGTAGGCTGTCTAAAAATCACAATAGATAGCTGATCCCCATCAAGTCTCAAAATGATAATCAGATGACTCTCATGCCGACAAATGAAAGCTACAAATGGAGAACTTTTCACATAGATCGAGAAGAGTTACAATTCAACGACACTTCCGACAACTGATGAAAACTCTATTCAGCAGTCTTCACAATCAACAGTGAGAGTTATAATCTGACGACTTTCACACCTCACAACAGCTAAAGTGAGGATTACTGAACAATGGTCCTTGCAACGCTCTACAGAAGAGGTTACAAATCAACTAGCCCCTTCTAAAACGCGGAACTCATCTTCACGTTACAATTCTTAAAATGTAGGCGAACCCCGCGTTTCCAAGCCATAACAAGCAAAACACGAGCGGCCCTCGCGTTTTTGGATATTCAGACAACACCTAACTCCGCGTCTCAATTCTAAGATGCGGTGTTAGGGTCCTAAATGCCAGATTGGGCATTTGACTCATTCAAACATGAGTCGAACGGTTTCAGAACTGTTTTCCCACGATCTGAGGGAATCACACCCACTCAGGAGTGGATTTAGGGGTCAGTTACACCCCTTATCCTCTTATAAATAACCGCCTTACTCAACTGAGTAAAGGGTTGTTTTTTTTGGCTGATCGGGGGAAGTCTGGGAGATCAACAACCACACATAAGGTCGAATCTTCAAGAGATAAAAGATTTGAATCAAGTTCAGGAGATCAAATCCAAAAAGGATTCTTTAGCAACAGTAAATTGGCTTGATTATTAACCGAATTTCGGTTCTAACAACTTTATTCACAGAGTTCTAACTCGTTCTGAGTTCTGAAACTCGTTAAGAGTTATTCCTTAAACTCACTTCGTAAGTTCATTGTTCCCACAAGATAAAGACTGTCGGATCGTCAACGGAGAGAAAATTCGACGCACGCATTCGAAGGAGGCATTCCATCGCCACCGTGAAGAACTCAGTTTTAAACAAAGGAGAGAATCAAATTCGTTCTCTTCTCTTTTATAATCAGGAAATCCAATTATAACTGAGATCAAAAGGAATACAAAACCAATTTTTCCTTCGTTTCTCTTACTACAAATTTTCCACAAACAGAGATTTAGCTCTCTTCTCAATCATATTGTTTATCCTCTTTTTGATGTTGCCAAAGAGGGAGAAAATGTGAGTTTTTATGTTTTTATATGTGGTTTTATGCTTATTATGCTTATGAACTTTTATGTGTATTTCGATAAATTGTTTGTCATCATAAAAAAGGGGGAGATTGTTGGCCTTCTTGTTTTAATGATGATTTAACAAATAATTTATGACTAATATTATTTTTAGTATTTTATTTTGTGTTATTTAGTATACACATGAAAACGAGCTACATGGATATTGAAGCCTATGCAAATCAAGTCAACCAATCAAGTTCAAGCTTCATATGATTCATTCTTAGTATACTTGGTATAAGTTTATATATAATGTGTGCAAATTCTTCAAGCTCAAATTTACACACACACTTATTTGTGATGTTTCTCAAATCATAGGTGTTTTTATGCAAAATATATTTTAATATGCTTTGGACTATACAAATATTATTAACATCTGTTATTAAGTCCATAAAAGCATTACACAAGCTTTCAGAATTTGATTTGAGCTAAATGTTAAAATTAACATGTTTATAAACACATGTATTTTAGTGTTTTTAAATATTTCTGAGATTTCACAAATAGTAAGAGCAAATTGAAAAATTCCTTTTCCAACATGTTCATATTCATGTTTATAAACTTTTTCCAAAGTTTTACACTTTTTGGAATTTATTTGCTATTTTTAAAAGAGGTTTGAAATTTGTGTTTACTATTCATTACAGGCTGAAACCCTGTTATCAGTCGACTGATGATTTTTATCAATTGACTGCTAAAACTGCTTATAATCTTTAAAAGTTTCTGTTTTCTTATTCGGTCGACTGATCAGTCGACTAATGGATCATCAGTCGACTGATGAACTCTTCAGTCGACCGATGAGCTGTTATCTGCCTGTAACGGTCAGCTCGTCAATCGACTGATTCATCTCATCAGTCGACCGACGTTGTAATGACTAGTTTTCCAGTTTTCGTTATTTTGTCTTTTTGCTTGGTTTTTCTTGATTTTGGGATTTTGTTTCTTAATCCTATATATACACATACTATTTCACTTCTGAACTACTGAAGAAAGTTTTAAAAATAAGTTTTAAAGTTTGTTTCTTCTCAAATTTGAGTTTGGTGTTTGTTTACAAAAGAAGAAGCCTACATCGTCAAGTGAGGAATTCATCCTCAATCTTCTTCATCCTCTTATTGTGTTTATAGAGAAGTTTTTTCTAACTCTTTTCTCTAACAATATTATTACTGATTTTCATATTCTTATTATTGCTAGTTTGCTAATTGAATTAGATTTTATTTGAACTTATTTTATCACACACATCCCTATTTGAGCTTTTAGTATTTCATACATTATATATTGAGTTGTGAGATTGTGATATTATGAGAGTGAGCCTAAATTGTGTTATCATCTATTATAGAGAACAAATCTTGTAATTGAGCCTTATTGTGAGAGTATCACTTTGTAATACATATTTACACCGAGATGAGTGTGTGGTGAGGACGTAGTCGATACCAAGAGGAGTGGCGTCGGTAGTAAAGCCTAGAGAGAGATAGTAAAGCCGAGTACTTGAGGGAGGCTATACGTGAGGACCAATACTTGAGGTTGTAGTTTGTGTATGTACATTGTGAGTGTCTTGTAGAGTTTTCGGTGAACTAGAAAACCGAGTGTGTAGAGAAGTTCCGGTTTCCAAACCGGGTGTGTCGTGATAGTGGATTCTTCCTGAGAGTGGGGAGCGGAGACGTAGGTCGGAAGGACCGAACTCCGTGATCATATTTATTGTGTTTGATTTTATTTGTTTATATTGTTTCTTGTTTATTTTGCCCTTTGCATATATATCATTGCTTTAATTCAATCGAATATCTATCTTGCTAGGATATATTTGTTAGTAAGTTTTAATCGGCATTAATATCTAATAAGATTAGCATAAACCCTATTCACCCCCCCTCTAGGGTGTTTTCAAGGGGTTCCTTAACTTTGAACATTTATTTGATAACCCCCATAGCTTTCAAAATATCAGAAAACTCCCCCTTAAGTTTAGGACTTCTTAGAAAATCCCCCTTCAACTTTCAATATTTTTCAAAAACCCCCCTTAAAAGTGTGAATTGCGATTTTCATTGGCAAAAATATTCTCCTATGTAGTTTATCCACCCATGTGAAAAATTACAATTTACGCCATTTGGAGATTTTATGAAAACAATCTTAAAGTTGAATGGTTTTTTTTTGATAATCCATAAACTTAAGGTTTTTTATTAAATGTTTTGAAAGCATGGTGGGTTATCTAATAATCATCCAAAGCTAAAAGGACTTTTTCGAAATTTAACCAAAATAAACCAAATCCACCCACTTTTCACTCCTAAAATTACACAGCTAGTGATTCTTTTTCTGTTTTAGTTAAAAGGGGTTCCACTGCCTCTTTCATATAAAAAGACGAAGCATATTGAGATCACAATTAGTGAAATTTATTACAAAATATCGAAAGTTGATAAGGATTTTTATGAGAACCCCAAAACTTAAGCAGTATTTTGTGACCTATTGAAAATTAAGGGGTTTATATGAGAAATGCCCAAACATGAGAAGTTTTTCTGAGATTTACCTCCTCCTTGCTGATAAAATGTTGTTATCATCTTATGGGCTGTTACTAGGGATGTGCAAACCGTAGTTTTAGTTAGTTTTGACTATTTTTCATCAAACCAAATTCGAACCGAACTAGATTCAAAATCAAACCTAACCAAATCAAGTTGGTCCGCTTTGGTCTGGTCTGGTCTGGTTTGACCAGTTTGGGCATAAATCAAGTTAGATAATTTTTATTTAAAAGATAACGTTTTTTATTTTTTTCAAACCCATCGGTCATCTCATATCTCAAGTTCAAGAACGAACTCGTCAAATTAACTATTTTACAAACAAAAATGGAACCTTAATTATTTAAGATATATAAAAATAATAGTATAAATTCTTTTTTCACATAATTGGCAATTGCGTTGAGATTAGTCGGTTTGATTATAATTTATTTAAGTTTCAAAAATTTCAAAACTAAGCCCTATCGAAGTTTTTCCACAACCAAACGGAACCGTCAAAATTGGGTTGGTTCGATCGGTGTCAAGGGAACGGATCCGATAGCATGGGCTTCGGCCTTTGCCAGAGATACCATGTGGGCTTACGACACATGAGCCCGCCACTCTCCACGGGGACACATAAATCCCGTATTTTGATGTCATCGACGAGAGCCCGCTTCTTTTTCTCTTCATCACCCTTCTGATCATCTTCTCCTTCCTCCCTCTCAATTCAAAAAATCCCCCAGAAATAAAAAGGAAAAGGAAAAAAAAAAACATGAGGAAGAGATCATCGTCGCCGACGTACGAGCGTTGGAAGGCTCAAGTTCCGATACTCTACGAGCGGTTCGACGAGCACCGGCATGATCGGCCTTCTCCCTGCTGCCAGTACTCTCTCTCTCCCCCCTCTTTTTCTAGGGTTTATTCAAGAAATCTAGTACATTTTAGGGTTTTGGATGAGTTTTGTGGGGGTTTCGTCTGGAAATGTTGGCGGGTTCTTGGTTTGTTGGGGGTTTTCAAGAATGGCTACGAGAATGCTCTACTTTTAGAATATTGTAGATTCTAGTGTTTAGTTTAGAATATGGATTGTAGATTTTAGGGTTCTAGACTAGTTCGTATCCCCCCTCCCAAGAATGTTGTGGGATTCTTGATTAGCAAGAGATTTTCAAGTATGCGTCGGCGAGAATACTCTAGTTTGCAGGGGTTGTATCTAGAAATTCTGTATGGGTTTTGGGTTTCGTATTAGGGGTTCGTGGCTTTTATTCAAGATTTTGTTATCTTGGAAATTTTTAAGATTTCTGCAAGTTTTTACCCCAGAATAAAAAGGATATAGTAATCGCTTGGATTCTTTCATTAGTTTTTGTATGTTTTTGAAGAATTTCTGTGGATTTTAGGTTTATTTGGATGATTTCCTCAAGGAATGGTGAGGGGATGCTTGATTTGTAGGGTGGTTTTAGGGATTGTGTAATTGGGAAGTTTTGCTGGATTTTGATGGAAATTCTGCAAGTTTTTTTGCTTTGCTTGAGGAATTTAACCTGCTTTTTGCTGTTTATGGGGATCCAGTCAGTCCTTATTGGCTGTTTTGGTTAATTTCAAGTTTTCTACTTGAAACTTTTATCCAAATTTCAAGAAAAAGCTCAGAAGAATTAAATAATGCTGCATATATTTTTAGAGGAGTTCCTCAGAATTTGGTTTATTTGAAGCTTTTTAATGTATAGAATGTTCTAGAATGTGATACCTGTGTCGGAGCACTGCCAGGATGGCACCTTCCTTTAGCCATGGATAAATCAACTCCAAACCTGTTTGCTTAAGAACAATTAGAAGAGATGAATAGATTAGAAGAGTTTAGGCAAATTTCAGGACTTTCAGAGATTTACTTTGATCCAAAACTTAACATACTCATTTGGTGCTAGGCCATAAATAGCCTTTGGTCACTAGCTGACAAAAGTTCAGGTAGTTGAGACTAACCAATTTGGTTAGGACACACAACTATCTGAGTTAGCCACAAATTGCAGAAAAGAAGGAAAAATATATAGCCACAAATTGCAAAAAAGAAGGTAAAAAGATATTGTCAGCAGTACTTATTTCCTTAGTGAATTCAAGACCTATTCAGTTCCTCTTCCATCAAGCTAAACTAGTTTCTCCACTCCCCTTACGAGGATATCCCCTTACGAGGATACTTATGAACTGTTCTGCGACAACTGTTAAATTTTCCTTCTCATTTATAACTCTAGTTGTCATCTTTAATGGTGTCAGCTCCATTGGCAATGGGTGTTAATGGTTTTTTCTATTCTTGAGCCAAAATGTTGACGGAAGCAAAATTTCTACAATTTTGTCACTTTTACTTTTTTGCTCATAAAGGTGGGGCATACAACTAAAGGAAACAAAAGACGAGAAACACCAGCGTCTTTACTTTTCTGAGCAGGCAAGTAAACTAAACTTGCTCCCACATTGTATGTGTTGGCCGCCTTACTACTTAAAATATTTGCTGAAGGCCAAGCTCATTCTCTTCTCCTTGTTCTTTGAATCTTTAATGAAAGATGCAGCAAGTATTGTTTTATTAACCAAACCTTGCCTGCTAATGCTCTTTCTTAGTAATATGAGATTGCTTGCTTCTTGTAGTCTTAATCTTTATATATTGGAGTTATTTGCTTTTAATTATATATCACAGTTATTGTTGGTGTGCCATCACGCTGGAAGTAACTTTCTTAATACATTCTTTCCTTACCTTACGTTGGAAAAGTAGGTAACATGTGACCATATATTGCTATTTATGTTTTGAGCAGCTAACTTGGGCTTCAGTAGAAGTGAATTAAGTAGTGATGATAGGGTTCATGGAGGATTTGGATATGTATTAAAAAAATAAAATGAGAGGGAATATTTTGTATTTTGGAACATCAGATGTATATTAACAAACTGTTTGTTCTAAAATTCCCATAAATGTTATTGAGGTCTGACTCACTGCTAAAAGCAAGTAAGTTTCAGTAGGCTGCAAACACCTATGCTCAAGAGGGGTGGGGGGGGGGGGGGGATAGCGAGCAGAGAATCTTTTGAATTGACCAAAGAAATGGTCAGTTATATTTTCCCCTAATTTGGAGGATACATAGGCTATCTTGCAAAATTGTAAATCATGAATAATCAAGGTTGACCAGAATTTTGTATGGAGCTTGATTACAAGACCAGGAACTAGATGGTGACAAGTTGAGGTTAAGTAATTTGTACATTTTTACTTTTAAGGATAGAGCCATAGTAGTGTATGAATTGATGCAGGAAATTGGAAGAAGGCAGTCAGAAATAATCAAATGCAAGGAGGTTTGCAAAGATTGATAGTGTAGTGTTAAGCATTCATGTAATTAAAATATACCCACACTGGAAACTTCATCGTAGAGTGAATGACATAACAATCAAGTTGGATCTAGATCCATCAGTTTAGGCCTTAGGTCAGATTGAGTCTCAATGAATTACATGCCTTCGTTAGTTGAGACGTGACTTTTGGACCAATTTGTCTAGGTTATGCCCATGGGAGAGTCAGGTGAAATGATCCTGCAGTGAAGGCCCATGAGTTTCTATGGGAGCACGAACATGAAGGGGGAGATTTTCTAAGATTCATATGCATCAAAATTGTACCGTTGGGAGCTTTAGTAAGGTTGTATATAACTTATTCCAAGTTAACTACCCTCCGTTCATCGGCATTAGGATAATATCTCCTCAGACACTTGGACCTTTTTGAAGAGATCTCCTCATCCTGATGAGGTGCTTGTCGATGGATATTCTCATTGAGCCATGTTCCGTGATAATATCTATTAAAGTTTAACATTGAATTAGACATTATTAATAAAAATAATCACATAAAAAATAATGAATTAATAACATAATCTAAATTATTACCTTGGATTCAAAGAGTGCGCCAAGCACTGCAGTGGCGTGTTGCTCTTATTCCATCTATCCTTCAAGATTTGTGTACGACATCATAAAATGAGGAGGGATCATTTTCTCTTTTGCTCTCGTGTCTATAAATAACAACCTTCACCTTCTCAATCATTGTATCCCACATATCATATACCAAATGAAGGCTAAGCTTGTCGGTATTGGTGAGCCAGACATATCCACAATTGCCCTTGCGGCCTTGCATGTCGAAGCGTTATCAGTAATGATTTGAATCACATTTTGAGGCCCCACCTCTCTAATGCAAGCGTCAAGCTTCTCTGCAATGAAATATTTATTCTTCTGCTCTCCCTCGGCATTCACGCAGTGCAATAACATTGGCTCATTTTCTGAGACCGCAATGAAATTTATCAGTGGCCTCCTCTGTGCATCTGCCCAGCCATCATTGCAAATAGAGACTCTATTCTGCTTCCATGTGTCCCTGATGGGCTCTAATAACCTCTCTACGTGAGCCTTCTCACGTTGCAAAAGAGTGGTCTTCAAAGAATTATAACCCGGAGGCTTGTAACCGACAATTGAATTGCTCGCGGCATATGTGATCATCTTGGAGAAATAAGGATTTCTTGCCAAATTAAATGACAGCCCACTGGTATAGAACATCCTTACAATCATTGAATCAAATTCATCTCTTGCCCCTGTATTGAAGGCCTGTTTAATGGTGGTGACTCCCCTCTTCCTCTTTGGCTCACTTGGACGAGAAGACATGCTTTGTCTTCCTGTTGCTGCACTTGACGCGGAAGAACCTGGCAGCGTCGCTGTCCTAGGCATAGAAGCCCTCACCTTTGCTTCTGTTTGATCCATATCAGTTTGCATGTTTTTCATATTGTGCGACTTAACACCTTTGCACATTTTAATTCCTTGCCCACTAATCCGCATTAGATGGGCTTTGATCCTTGAGTAGGAGGATGTAAATACTTCATTGCAATAATTACACATCCACTGCCAATTCCCCCCTCCTTTACCTATCTTCTCCAACTTCATGACATACTTTCACAAAAGAGTGTGATCATGATACGAGTCGCCGTGCGAGCACCCTTTGATCACGGAATTACCAAAAGGTGGGTTGAGAAGAAGACAACTAAAACACAAGATAATTCAGTATGGCGAAGAAAAATACATTCTTCTAGATTATGAAGAACAAAAAATTACAATCTCTCCCTCACAATCTCACTAGAATCGAGAATAACCTCTCAATCCTCTCTAAACCCTAATACAAAGATTAGAATCTCTCTCTGATCTAAGATCTCTAAGATGATCATAAACTGATGTTTAGAAAACCCTAAACAACCCTTTATATAGGTGTGCAAACGTGGATGGTAATCTGGTAAATAACCAAGCCCAAAACCAACAGAAATTCGTATGAACAGAAACCCAAACGAATCAGGAAACTGTCGATGAGTCGACTCATGACTGAGATGAGTCGACTCGTCCGAAACTGGATAAAACACAAAAACCAGCAATGAGTCGACTCATAACTGAGATGAGTCGACTCATGACACATGGGTCGACTCATCAGTGACTCATAACTGATGAGTCGACTGGTCAGAGCCGAATTGCTAACAGGGCTTGAGTTCTTGAGTCGACTCATGACAGGCATGAGTCGACTCAACCTGATGAGTCGACTCATGTACATGTATGAGTCGACTCACAGGCTGAAATCTGGATTCTTCGAATCTGCTGCTCGTCGTCTCGTTCCACGCTTCCACCTGTGTTTCCCTGTACTGATTGACACCTCTATTCTCATGCTATCATGAGAATCATCTATCCTCAAGCTCCCATGAGGATCGCTAAGCTCCCGAAGCAGAGAAGAAGATACACACGTATCATGGCTCCCCTCTTTAAGAACTTGAAGTCCCTTTCAAGTTTAGAACTTCTGGTGAGGGAACTCTCGAACTCCTCCATCTTTTCTGCACCATCTGGCATTGCTAGGAATCCGATCTCGACGTCCGATCGGAAACATCTCATTCGTCTCACGTCTCGTCGTAGTCACCGTTCGCTTCAAGTTGTAATCCTTTGTCGATGGCTTTTCTAGAAGTCTAATGCACAGCGAGACAAACTTATTACTTGCATTCACTAGTCTCTTCGCTCGCGTCACCGTCCCCAAGCTTGTCTCTCTCGGAAGAGATGCCGAACGAAATATGAACTTATCACCATCTTTAGTGAAGGTGTACTTCTGAGCCCGCCTCTCGTAGATCTATCCCATAAGTACGGATTACCCAGTATAATCTGACAAACATCCATAGGAATGACGTCGCACGTGACCTCGTTAATATACGACTCGTGGAGCGCAAATCTGACAGTGCATTGATCAACTACACTTAGTTTCTCCTCCTTCTGAATCCACCCCAATGGATAGAGCTTCAGATACTTGACCGTCTTTAGACCCAGCTTCTGAACCAATGCCTCGGATATCAAATTCTTCTCGCTGCCCGAATCAACAATGACATCAACCAAACTGGTCTTTACTTGCAACTTAAGAACAAAGAGTTGCTCTCTCGGATCATCGTCCTCTTTCGTGGTCTGCTTCCCCGTCATAAGGTTAAGACTGTTGTTGGGTTCTGTCATCCCCGGGACTTCTTTCGGACATTGAGCTATCATGTATGCCTTTTTCTCTTCCTTCTTCTTCAATCCTCTTGGCTTGAGATGATGATACTTCTCCCAGCACCGATCAGCTGTGTGTCATGTCTTCTCGCAGTGACTACAAATCAGTCCTGCTTTTCCTAAATCACCCTTCTTCTTCTCCTCCTTAGATTGAGAACCATTAGACTCGCCTCCCGTCTGTTTGGAGTCTCCCTTAGTCTCGTTGCCCTTCTTTTGCTTGCTCTCGAGGGCAATAGCCTTCACGCTCGCCTCTGCAATTGATTTCACCGTGAATAGCTTCATCTCCTTTCGGATGTAATCGCTCAATCCCGTCATATACTTCATAAACACGGAATATTCCTCTGTCGTAATGTTGAGGACCATCGCTTGCTGCTGAAATTCCGTGGTGTATTTTTGAACGGTTTGATTGACCCTTTGGCGCAAGCCGTACCACTTATACTAACGCTCTTTAAGGAATCCCATCGGGTAGAACTGCTTTCTCAGTAACTCCTTGAACTTGTTTCACGACATCGCCTTTTTTTCCTGCTTGCAGTAGGATTTCCATCACGTCAATGCGTGCCCTGAAAGCTTCAAAGTCGCGAACACAATCTTCTCTTTTGACGAATAGCCATAAAGAGTAAAATACGTCTCTATCCGCTCGATCCAGTCATCAAGCCTCTTGACGTCAACACTCTCATCATAAACAGGAATCTCCACCTTAAAGTGTTCTGATAAGAATTCTTACCCCCTTGATGCAATACAGCGTTAACGGTCTCCTCCTCCTCGTCGGAATCTGAATCTACTCTCTCCATATCGGACTTAACAATTTTCTTCGAAGAAGATTCACCTTGTTTGCCACCTCCATGGATAAGACTGACGAGTTGTGTGAGAGTCGAACCT